CACCTGATACAAGTGTCATGGCCGTCAGCCGTTGGCATGGCTTCGTGGCACTTTAAGCATTTTTTGAACCCAGTTGAGCCAGGCATTGTCACCACAGTTAAGGAATGCCTGTGTAATCCCCGTATGGGTAGTCAATTTCACCAGCTTAGGTGCGGCGGCTTTCACCGAAGTCTGAGAGAAAACTTTTTTTTTTTACAGAGAAACAAGAAAAAGTGTCATGGCCGTCAGCCGTTGGCATGGCTTCGTGGCACTTTAAGCATTTTTTGAACCCAGTTGAGCCAGGCATTGTCACCACAGTTAAGGAATGCCTGTGTAATCCCCGTATGGGTAGTCAATTTCACCAGCTTAGGTGCGGCGGCTTTCACCGAAGTCTGAGAGAAAACTTTTTTTTTTTACAGAGAAACAAGAAAAAGGAACACGACTAACATGAAATTTTAACTAACTCTAACTATTTACAGTAGAGAACTATCTAAAACCATCAGTAAAGAGAGATCAGGGAGCTCCGACCGCGACCTGAGGCGGTTGAGAGGAACTGACGGTTGCCGGCTCGCACGTGGCTGATCAAAGGCGCGAACGCTATCCTGGTGAACCACGCATGCGCGAGCCGGCGGAGCACGGCTATGAAAAGTCTCCGAGCCGCGGGGACGGGACCCGACACCTAGAGTGGAGCACCCACGGGGCACATCTCGAAGAACAATCGTTACTTCACAGGGTGAGTAACTTCTCTTTTAGAAACACTTCTAATACTGCCATTTGCTTATTTAGAAACCACAGAATACTAGAATACTACAGAAATCACATGTACTAGATAGCATAGCAGATAGAGAACCACATGTCTAAAAAAAGTTCATCATAAATCCTACCTGAGAACATCTTCCTTTTCTAAATCCCTATTCCATAGTTATTAATGATAGCATGACACCCAAGCACCCTTAATTTTGCCCACTAATAATGCCATGCAACATTATTTATGTATTTGTGATACAAGGGACTTTATCCAATACATTCACATCCTTTCTGTAATGGGGGGCAGGGGAGCAGAATTGGATTAAATACTCCAGATGTGACCTCACCATTGCTGAATAAAGGGGAATAATCACTTCTCTAGACCTGCTGTCAATGCTCCTTCTAATGCACCCTAATATGCGGTTATCCTTCTTGGCTACAAGGGCACACTGTTGACTTATATCCAGCTTCTCATCCACTTTTCTGCTGAACTGCTGCTTAGCCAGTCGGTCCCCAGACTGTGGCAATGCTTGGGAATCTTCCGTCCCAAGTGCAGGACTCAGCACGTGTCCTTGTTGAACCTCATCAGACGCTGCACCCACTGCTGCATTCTGAGCAACTCCTGAAAAATGAACCAAGCTTGAAATAAAGCCCTTGTGGGAGGGGTCCTTATTGCAGGTATCAGACATGCAAGCCCACTGGGTGACTGAACAGCCCTACTGCCTGCTGTAGTCTCTCAGTACCGACCCATAGGGCACTCCACTTGATACCGACCACCAGCCAGACATCAAGTCATTGATCACTACCTGTTGAGCCCAACAATCTAGCCAGCTTTCTATCTACCTTACAGTCCATTTAGCCAAGCCATACTTCCTTAACATGCTGGCAAGAGTACTACGGAGACCATAACAAAAGCCTTACTAAAATCAAGGTATATCACTTCCATTGCCTTGTCCATATCCACAGAACAGTTACCTTGTCATAGAAGGCAATCAGGTTGGTCAGGAATGAGTTGCCCTTGGTGAATGCATGTTGATTATTCCTGATCACTTTCCTCTCTTCCAAGTGCTTCTAAATGGATTCCTTGAGGATCCTCTCCATGATTTTTCCAGAGACTGAGGTGAGGCTGACAGGTGAGTAGTTCCCTGGATTGTTTTTCTTCCCCTTTTTAAAGATGGGCACTATATTTGCCTTTTTCCAATCATCTGGGCAAATAACTTCCCAAGATCACTAAGCAGGCCAAGGACAGAGCTGGGAACCCAGGTCGAGGTGCAAGCCACTGATTTATCTACTAGAAAACACTACCTCCCAAATTCATTTGGTCAAGTGAATGCTGAGAAACAGGTCTGTCCTTAGGATTTAGGGGGCCCTACATAGAACTATTAAGCTGCTGTCCCTATGACTGATGGCAGCCGGGGGAGGGGGAACGACAATGATTTTTTAGATATGTGAAAAAAATCTTCAGTAACACACTAATGAAATTTTGTTAAAGCAAATTTTAAACCAAGATCCTATAGATTCACCCAGTACATTCAGAAAATGATAGTATATACCTGGGGTTGACAAGTGACTGTTAAATGGCTTCACTACCACTTAAATGACACAGGTTTGGTGTTCTGCTAATAGCTCTGGCAGCCTTTTTCCCCTTTTAAGTTAACTAGACTCTCTCCGGAGAAAGCAAAGCCGCAGAACAGGGATAGAAAGAAGTGGATGGGTGAACATTAAGACTCAGTGGTGCCCCAAATTTTCAGGTGTCCTACACAGCTGCCTATTCTGCATACAGGTAAGGATGGCCCTGCTGAGGAAGGATGTGAGAAAAGGGCACAGAATTCAAAAGTTTGGTGATTAGGTCTGGCAAACCAATGGATCGTGTTATTCAGGTGTTCAGTGCTGGAATGAGAAAAGGGATTTCTTGACTAATTTATGTTCCCTGGGGTGTTTTTCACCCCCTGCCCTTGTTACATATTCTTCCTCTGGCAGCATGCCTTAGCATTTCATTGGACAGCAGTGTCCTCCCTCGCCCAGTCCTGGAGAGTTGCGCTGCCAAAGGTCACATAGAACAGCAGGCCAAACAGATTGAGGGCTGCTGTCATGAAGAAGACATTCCTCCAGCCAGTCAAGAGGTCCTGGGAGTGCCAAACAAGAGCAATTAGTATCTCTTTTCCCACTATCACCACATGGTCTAGAAACACACAGGGAGAACCTGGGGCTTGAGCCCATTTGTGGGTAGATTTAGCCATGGAATGGTTTTCATTCAGCTAAAGACTTTGCAGCGCCAGTTCACTCTCTGGCTGCAGATTTCGCTCCTCAGGCTCCATGTGACTGACTCAGCTACGCACTGCAGCGCGCTTGGGAATTCCTTGGGAAATCATAGCATGCTGATTTCAAGCAGCTTTATCTTCCTTGGTACCCAGCTCTCCCTACTGACCCACTCTCCATCCGTCTCTCTGCCCCCCCTCCATTTTAGGGATGTAAAAGGTCATGTAAAAAGTTAACTGGTTTAACTGTAGAGCCTGGGGTGTGATGGGCGGGCCCAGCAGAGCTGGAGTAGCTCCCTACCCGTGGTGCGATGCAGGCAGGCCTGGCCAGACCAGAGCAGCTCCCCGCCTGTGGCACAATGCAGGTGGCCTCCAATGTGACCATCAGTAGAGACCCTGAATTACCTGGCTGGTGAGTAATCCAACTGCGGTGGGAGCGATTATTCCTGACACGGTTCCAAAGGTACTTGTGATTCCCAGTAGTAACCCAGCGTATCTGGGGAGAAGGGAAGGGAAAATTTCCTGAGCAAGGCAAAGAGAGACTTGCAACAAGGGAGAAAATTAGGTTCCAATTCCTTCTCCCCCAGGCAATGGCACTTAACCTGCTAACAGCTTCTAAGACAGCAAGTGCCACTGGAATAAAGTCATTATGCATGTAACAGTCTCCACTAGCTAGCAGTGGTTCCTCAGCTTAGTCCCTGCCTGTCCTCTTGAAATCCACTAAGAGCCTTTACCTGCTGCTGTAAGGGCTCTGAGCCTGCATTTCTGTGCCTTGGTTTTGCCTGTCCAGCTTCAGATGCCAACAGCTGCAGAGGATCAGGGAGAGGAGAAGCAAAAGGCCGCTGAAATGGCTGAGGGCTGGGATGACACCGTCTGGGGGGTCTTACCTGGGAGCAATGTCGATCTGGTTAATGTTGAACCCAGCCCCGCACATGCTGATTATAGTCATGGAGAGTGTTAGAAAGCCCACAGCTGCTGGGTAATCACAGCCAACGTAGGACACAGCCACCAGGGAGATGGCTGGGAGCAGCATCCCTAGGGAGAAGAGGGAATGTGGATTATATGGCTGACTGTGTGAAGGCTGATGGAAAGAACCCGAGGGCAGGAGGCATCTGTCCTTACCCAGCCCCGAGAAGAGCTTCCGCACTGTTGCTGTGCTGAACACATGCCTGGACAGGAGGAAGTCGGCCAGCAGCCCTGATATGATGGTGCCCAGCCAGTTCCCAATGTAGGGAAGCGCAGAGAGGAGCCCATTCTGTAGAGTGGAGGGTAAGGGACTGGTTATCTTGCTCAGAGCCGTCAGAGGGACCCAGCATCACCAGCATCTGGATGTGCTCAGGGGGGTTGAAATGTCAGCACCACAAGAACCACCCGTCTGGTTTGGGCCTGAGGTTCATCCAGCCCAGCATCCTGCCTCTGCCAGTGGCTAGCACCAACCAGCCACTTTGGAGCAAGGTGAAAGAAACAGCCTAACCCGTGGAAGTCAGAAACTGGCCTAAGTCCTGAAGCTGGGGGTTTAACACGCTGTCCAGAATTGATTAGAATGCACTTTTATCCCCCTGCATTCAGGGGACAGCCTGGTCCTGCACGACAGCACAGCTCACCTCTCTGATGTCAAAATGGAGCACATCATTCATGTACATTGGCATTGACGTCAGCAGCATGTAGAACAGCCAGTCATTGCAGAGATAGGCGACTGCGATGGCCCATAAAGGCAGCGATTTAATCATGGCCAGGAGTGGAAGGCATCGTCCATGGGAGCTGCCCTTGAAGGAAATGCACCTGTGAGGCCCATTCCTCTCCCATGACAGTCCACAGTCCCATGATCCAACTCATCCCTTCACCTCCGACTCCCCTCACATCCAGCCGCAGATAAAGCCTAGTGCTTTTCCTAGGGAGAATGCAGCCTTCCCTCTTCATCTCCACAGATAAGGGTTCAGCCCATGCTTCAGGCACCTCTGAGTTTACCTGTGCCGCCTCCCACTCCATGGCTCACTCCTGCATTCGGTCCAAAACACCACACTTACAGCACCTTCCCCTCTCACCATCGTGCTCCTCCTTGGACCTCCTCTGCCTCAGATCCAAGCTCCTTTCCCTCACCTCAGGCTCCCCCCACAACTTAGCCCTGACCCTCCATCTCCAACTCCTCCCTCTGCTCCCCCAGGTTTCTCCCAAGCTTTATCTCCTCTCACACTTGGCTTTCAGGCTCCATCAGATTGCCCCTGCACATATAGCTGCCTCCTCTAATTCAACCTCCCTTGGCTTCAACAAATGTCTCCTTAAAATACCCATTTCATGAAGCACAGGCAGGCTGATCTCCTCCCTGGCCCTGTCTTTGGCCCTTTCGCATTGATCTCTTCTCTCATGTGTCCTCAGTATCTAAGTCTGAACTAATCTGTGAGCTCCTTGGGGCAGGGCCCTCTCTTTTATTTACAATGGCACCGCTCTATAAATAATGCACTCAGCAGAACTCTGAAGATAGTCTCATTGGAGAAGGTCCCATTGTCCCAATCACTATTCAAAGGAGGATATATGGGGCAACTAGATCAGAGTTAAAAGGCTTTCCAGGTACCTGGTTGGCCAGTGATGACACAATGTGCTCCTTCTCACTGGCACTAATACAAGGGTGAGATGCAGGATCTTCATAGACGAGAAGGAACCAGAACACACACCAAACGCAGCCAATACCACCTATGGAGAAGGGGAATCACAGAATCATAGAACACTAGAACTGGAAGGGACCTCGAGAGGCCTTCGAGTCCAGTCCCCTGCCCTCATGGCAGAACTCAGTACTGTCTAGACCAGGGCTACTCAACTTTGGAAGCCCCTGGGGCCACAATGATACTCTCAGCATGTGCCGAGGGCCGAAACTTAAGAGTGGTTGCATATACATGCAAATATATATGCAAATATATGCAAATAGATTGTCACACTGACAGGCAGAATACAAAGATTAAGGCAAGACAACACAACACGCAGGCCCCATTTAAGTCAGTTCTGCTGATGCTAATAAAAAATGTGACATTTACCTGATTTCCACCCATATGACAGCACTTTTAATGAGCAATGATAGTCCAGGAATGTAATTACTAGAACGCAGATCAACAGAAGACCATTCTATTGACAACTTTTTTGTTTTGGCTCCCACCCGCAGGTCACAAACAAACAGGCCACGGGCCACGTGTTGAGTAGCCCTGGTGTAGACATCCCAGATAGATGTCTATCTAACCTGCTCTTAAATATCTCCAGAGATGGAGATTCCACAACCTCCCTTATTCCAGGTGACTTATTCCAGCATTTAACCACGCTGACAGGCAGGAAGATTTTCCTAATGTCCAACCTAAAACTCCCTTGCTGCAGCTTAATCCTATTGCTTCTCATTCTATCCTCAGAGGCCAAGGAGAACAGTTTTTCTCCCTCCACCTTGTAACACCCTTTTAGATAACTGAAAACCCTATCATGTCCCCTCTCAGTCTTTTCCTTTCCAAACTAAACAAGCCCAATTCTTTCAGTCTTCCTTCATAGGTCATGTTCTCTAGACCTTTAATCATTCTTGTAGCTCTTCTCTGGACCTTTTCCAATTTCTCCACATCTTTCTTGAAATGTAGTGCCCAGAACTCCAATTGAGGCCTAATCAGTGCAGAGTAGAGCGGAAGATTGATTTCTCATGTCTTGCTCACAACACTCCTGTTAATGCATCCCAGAGTCACATTCGCTTTTTGCAACAGTGTCACACTGTTGACTCCTATTTACCTTGTGGTCCACTCTGCCCCCTAGATCCTTTTCTGCTGTACTCCTTCCTAGTCAGTCACTTCCCATTCTGTATGTGAGAGACTGATTGTTCCTTCCTAAGAGGAGCACTTTGCATTTGTCCTTATTAAACTTCATCCTGTTTACCTCAGACCATTTCTCCAATTTGTCCAGATCATTTTGAATTATGACCCTATCCTCCAGGGCAGCTGCAACCCCTCCCAGCATGATATCATCTGCAAACTTAATAAGCGTCCTCTCTATGCCAATAGCTGAATCATTGATGAAGATATTGAACAGAACCGGTCCCAAAACAGATCCCTGCAGAACCCATTTGTTCTGCCCTTCCAGCAGGCCTGTGAACCATTAATAACTACTCTCTGAGGATGGTTATCCAGCCAGTTATGCACCCACCTTATAGTAGCCCCATCTAAGTTGTATTTGCCTAGTGTATTGATAAGAATATCATGCAAGACCATATCAAATGTCTTAACAACGTCTAGGTATACCATGTCCACCGCTTCTCCCTTATCCACAAGACTCGTCAATGGCTCCTGTCCCAGATCTTCTGGTGGCACAGGTGTGTAGATACAACAGAGATGCGTAGGCAAGACACTACAGCTCTGTGACAGACTGCTGCAAGTTACTAGCGCCTTCAAGGATGGGCAGGTCTGTTCAGCTGACTCATGCTGACAGTCTGACCAGGTGGGGCCCTTCAACGCTGATCCATGGTATAAAAGGGTTTGTGTCCCCCTTCTTGGGGGAAGGAGGAATGAAGTGGTAGGGCAGGAATTTTTGCCTTGCACCAAACAACTCGGGCTGGGGATCCTGCCTGACTTTCCTTAGTGGGAGAATGAAGGAAGAAGTGGAAAGTGGCTGAGTGTGGGGCACTGCTCCTCTCCATGTGTGTGCCATGTCGAGCTGACAGGGAGCTACTTGCCCATTCACAGACCCCCCCAACAGGACAGTGAGGGTGCACTGCAATGCCAGATGGACAGACAGAGGTGGTGCAACACTCCTGCAGCTTTCCAAACATCCTGTTCAAGGCAGATCGAGGGGCTGTGCTGGCTAACAGACCTCATCAATGTCTATTCCCTTACAGATTAAAACAAAAGATGCCAGACCTGAGACCTCCCATCCATGGAGCAGACATAGCTGGAGTAACAGCAATGCGAGCCTCCTCTGCACTGCCCACCTGACAGATGTCCAGCGTGAGCTGGAGGGAAGTCCAGTCCCTCTGGCCATTCAGCCCTTTCGACTGGGGGTTCTGAAAGTGGTCTCTCCAAAGGGGCACGTTTCTTCATTAGGAACTGGATGAAGAGCCCTGACTCCTCACAGAGGTAACTAGAAGACCTTCCTATATTTCACTCTTTTGTGGTTTCACTTGCCGGTGAATCTTCAGCAGTGGAAACCACAGCAACTCACCAAAGATGTAGAAGACGTAAGGCCACCCAAGGTACTGGCAGATGATCCCAGCCACAGGGAAGGTGGTGAAGGTCCCAAAAGTGCACCCTGAGGAGCAGATAATGAAGAGTTCAGAGCGAGGGGATGATAAGGTGGTGTTTATAGAAGATGACCCAGGCTTCCCATACCATCATACAGTTGTTACTGCCCTATCGAGCCAAAGCTGAGAAGACAAAGTGGAGGAGAAGATAGAGGGGAGAAAGGAAAGGGAGAAAGAGCAGGAGAGGTGGACATGCAGCCAACATTATCCATGAAGGACCTTCGGTCTAGAATAGGGGTGGGCAATAAGACGGAGGCAGTTTCCTGGGAGGCTATGGCTGCTTTATTTACCTGTACAACCACTGTTACGGCCACTTGCAGCTCCCATTGGCCATGGATCACTCTTCCTGGCCCATGGGAGCTATGGGAATCAGTGCAGATGGGGACACCACTTCCCACAGCTCCCATTGGCTGCAAACAGTGATTTGCAGCCAGCAGGAGCTGCAAGCACCCTTACCTGCTGAGACACAGGTAAATACAGTGGTGGCGACCTGCAAGAGCTAACTCCGGCAAACAGCATCCAGACTGCAGGCAGTTTATAGCCCACCACTGGTGTAGAATCTGGACCTTTCTCTAACTCATGAGTGGCTCTGTTTGTCTGGAGCATGGGCAAGAGAAGCTTGAATCAGGAGGGATCTCTGTCACGCAGGGGGGCGGTGCTGGAACTCCAGGAATGGTTGATTCGATGGCAAAGAGAATCACTCTTTCTTACCAGCGTCAGCAAGATTCATGAGCCTGCTGCGTTCCAAGGGCGGAGCCCATTTTGCCCACAGTGTGTACTGGGCTGGAAATATCACCCCCTGCCAAGGAAAACACAGATGTGTGTGAGCACAGCAGGGAGGAGGGCACTCTGGGAGCAATACATGGTGGAAAGCATTAGTAGATCTCATGATCTTTCACTGCTGTGACCCTTGTCCCACCCATCCCCGCACTTTGGTTCACCCTTGTTTCTCACTTGTGAACTCTTTGGGGCGGAGACCTGTCTTGTTAACTTCTTCTGCAACGCCAGGTCTATGCATGATGCCACATACAGAAAAGTGCTAGCCACTGAGAGCAAAGCGATTGGAAGTGAAGGCCCTACCTACCTCTGCCATGCCCAGCAGTGCCTGCAGCCCAATGAGGTATGCCGCTCCAAGGCTGGCTGCGAGTGGCATAAGAAGGGTGAAAACCGAGGTCGAGAGCAGCCCACAGCCCAGCAGTATCTTCCCTCCAAACATTCCCGACCAGTATCCGCCGAGGAGCTGGGTGACGATGTAACCATAGAAGAAGGCACTGAGGATGATGCCCTGGGTTTTAGAGCTCCAGTCATACACGGGGGCCTGGATAAGACAGAACTTGCATCAAAAGGGGGAGAAAAAAAAAACAAGGAATGTCCCTTGAGGGAACACTGCAGCAGCTTGAAGACCCAGCTAAAGGGAGAACCATTCTCCCAGACCCGGACACTCCAGGAAGGGGTTAAGTAGCTCGTACGCACAGACCTGTCACCACTCAGGGGACCAGCGATTTCCTTAGTTTACACACATGCAACGGATACTCTGCAGTCAGCCCCAAAGTTCCTCTCTAAACAGCACCTCATTGCTATTGGGCCATAGTGCAAAGCCAAGAGGTAGAGCCGTTGTTGTTGAAACGATCTGGCCTACAGATGTAAAAGGTTAAAAGGTTAACCGATTAAACCAGGAGTGTGGAAACCATTTTGGTGTCGGGGGCCACTGACCCACAGAAAAATCAGTTGGGGGCTGCACATAAGTGAAAAGTAAAACACAAACAAAAACCAACCAACCCAACCCTCAATGACATGCCCCCTGACTGAGAAAGACACTCCCCATATTCCTCTCACACCCCAGAGCCTAGGGAGGCCTAGCCTAGTAGATTTTGTGTGCTCCAGCCCCACAGTGGGGAGACTGGAGTGCCAGCACGGGCTCCCCAGTGCTGGGGAGGCCTCCCCATGAGCCTTGGGGGCCAGATCCAGGCAAGCTGGGAGCCACATCTGGCCCCCGGGCCTGAGGTTCCCCGCCCCTGGGTTAAACAATATAATTTTAATCGTTTATCTGGTTAACTGTAAACCGGTATTTACACCCCTGATCTGGTCCTGCCTTTACACTTACTCCTTGGGGGAATTCTCGGTGTGAGCCGTTGGGCTGAGCGTGTGAGTGATTGGGGCACACGTCCATGGAGACATTGGGCAGGCTGCCTGGGCTGGTGCCATTCGTCATTGCTATGATGGTGATGCTGAGGTTGACCCGGAGCGCATACACCATGAAGAGGGAGAGGTGCAGGATGAGAGCCAGACTGTATCGAGCTGAGCAGAAGCCTGGTGTGGGTAAAATCACAACAAGCCGGAGACTGTCAGGGAGGCTGCAGATTAACCTGGAAGGTGCCTCTTCCCTCCTGGCTTGATGAATCTACAGGGAGAAACTTCAGAACTTTCTTTCATGCTTAAATTTGACACTTTACGAATGGGCCTTAACAAAGATGCTAATTACTGGTACCTTAACCATTACAAAGATAGCTTCCCACTTATCACCCCTGATTAGCCATTCATTGACTCAAATAGCTATTCCCTCCCTCACCGCACCTTCTGTACTAAATCTGATTTGTCAGTTTAATAATGTGTTCACTTTTTTCATTGTATTCCTTTGGTATATATGGTCATGCCAATTCTCTTCCAGAATATGATCTGAGGAAGTAGGTCTGGCCCACGAAAGCTCATCACCTATTAAACCATCTTGTTAGTCTTTAAAGTGCTACATAGTTTTTCCTTTTGGTTTAGGAAACACCAACAATCGCCTTATTTCTACCGCAAACCATTCTCCTCTGAAGTGTGCACCTTGGAAACATGTGCATGCACACACGCACATACACCCGCGGTAAGAGAGAATTTCCCCTTTGCCCTCCCCCAGCAGGTCTGCCAGCTCCGGGACAGGACTCTTGTTGAAGTAAAGAATTACTTTTGGATCGGTGCTGAGAACCAGTCTAAATCCCTGCAGCAGCAGCACTCAAGTGTGTGGCTGCTGCACCACCCTCTTTGCCATTCTGCACTGCGCTGGCAACCCTGGTTTCCCTACTTTACACACCCAGCTCTGGAAGAAACCCAGGAGCAGCTCAGAGGGAGCACACACTCCCTGTGTTCTTTCAGGAGAGGGTTCCCACATAATAATCCACTTTACAGCAAGCTTCTTGGGCAGGTGTAAAGGGACTGTTACCCCTTACTAAAACTCTGTGGGAGTTTTTTGGTTTACCAGCTTCAGAAGGGGAAGGGTTCATGAGACTGACAGACCCCAGAGACAATGGAAAGCAGTCAACACTCCAGCTCAGCCTGACTGACAGGTTGTAAGTGGGGATTGTTCTGGCTCTGTCTCTGAACAAACAAGCTGTGTGCAGAAGAGGTCCTGCAAAGACAGAGAGCTGAGAGAGGAGTACAAGAAGAAGTCCTGCAGCGACAGAACCAGACACAGACAGGCCAAGCAGTGCAGACCCTGTGTTGAGCAGCAGACTGGCAGTGCTCAGAAAGCCAAAAGGAACAGAGAAGCAACACAAGGAGCTGGAACTGGCCAAGCAGCACAGCCTGCAGCTGGATGTGGTGAGCTACTGGGACCTGCAAAGTGTGGGGAAAGGCTCTGGACTGGGAGAGGGGTCTGGCCACTTAGAGACTGAGGCTGTGTGGTCACTGCCAGTGCAAGCGTGTCCAGCCTGCAGCCCCTTGCAGCACATCCAGGGCTTCTAAGGAAGAGACTGTGAACTGTCCTTACACTCTGCAGACTGCTGTGTTGATGTCCCTGTGCTACAGAGCAGGGCTGTGTGTTCTCATTTAACCATTCTCATTGTTTCTTATTCTATTCTCTTTAATCAGTTGATGTTTAATAAATTGTATTTGCTTTGAACCTTATGAAGTGGTCACTGGGCCAAGAAGGCCTGCAGTGTAAAGAGAGCACCTCGGAGTGGGGACACCCTAACTCCTGCCCCTAGTGACTACAAGGTCAGGGATTAAGCCCCAGGAAACCTGGGCCCAGCCTTGTTGGGGTTTCAAGGGCTCTGCTACTCAGGAGAGTGGAGGGGGAGCCCTCAGGATCAGGGAGCCGTGGGGTAAAGGAAGTGGGAGCGGGGACTCAGATCCTTTCGCTGGTTCATTTCACCGGGGTGTATAGAAGCCAGGAAAGTTCCCCACAAGAGCGGGACCATTCCCCCGCTTACACAGGCACTGAGTTTTTACTCTCCCCATTATATCAGAGTGGAGGAGGAAGTCCCAGATTCAGAGCAGTTCCCCTCAAGTAGATTTACCTTTCCTAAGGAACAACTCCTGGTTGAGCAGAGGGGCAGCATCTTCCTGATCCAACTCCCGGCTGTCCTCTGCCTCAGTGTTCTCTGTGCTTTGTTGCATCCTTTCCTGGAAGCAAAACGGATACCTTTTCCTCCTCCTGGGTACGTCTCAGCAATTGCTGGAAGAAGAAACGTCTTAGACATCAGCAAACTGAGGGCCTGAGACCATTTCCTCAATACTGATCTCATGCCATTCTTCCTACAATGCAACCAGCCCCATCACAGGAGCTCCACAGGCTTGTGGAATATGGACACTACCCATGCAATGTAAATGGGACACCTTTTAAGAACAATGTGATTTACAATGATACAAAACAACTTCTAGGCCCTGCCTTGTGTGGTCCTTCCTATTTTTGCCTTTGATTATCACAGCCTCAAAACGGATACAGAGCCCTATTTTCCGCACAGCTGGATGATATTCCTTATTGCGGATACTCTTCTCTGCTGAAATAATAGCCTTTCTCTGCACCCATAAGATACCCTCACTCTGTGCCCTGGAAAATATATTCATTCCAGAGGCAGCTGCCCAGCTGAAACATTCTTTGACACAGAGGCTACGTCTAAGGCCATAGATAAAGGGATGTAAATTAAGCACGTCAATATTGCAAATGAAGCCAGAATTTGAATTTCCCGTGCTTCGTTGGCATAATGGTGGATGCCGCTTTTTTTTGAAATGGGGCTTTATTTTTCTGTCGAAAATGCCCCGTCTAAACTGCCATTTTGGGTTGTTGTGGTTTTTTTTTTTTTTAAAGCCCCATTTCAAAAAAAAGCGGCATCCACCATTATGCCAACGAAGCACGGGAAATTCAAATTCTGGCTTCATTTGCAATATTGACGTGCTTAATTTACATCCCTTTATCTATGGCCTTAGACGTAGCCTCTGTGTCCAATGCATAGATGTAAGTGGGGCTCCTAGAAATCCATTTGCCATGGAAAAACATGGAATAGGCATTTTAACTGAGAATCTTTAGTTTTTATTTTTTGTGAAAATACAGAAACTTGTACAGTGGAACCCTGATTATCTGATCTAATAGGGCTTAGGGCCAAATTGGATCATCAACAATTTGGATAATCAGGAGAAGAGATGGGTCTCTGGCTGTCAGTTTCAAAATTGTAAATACATGAATAAAACATTGTTTTCAATGATAGCTTGTACCCATGGTCCCCATGGGAGCAAGTTGATGTCACTCAATTAGGGTGAGCTGTGAACAGAATGGGGTGGACAAACCCCCAAAGCTGATGGATATTCTAATATTTAGATGTACCAGGCCAGAACACGGGAGCTATTGTACTACCGCCCTGGGTACGCAGAAGTCCAAACCATGCAGTTCCCTTAAAGAACCCCCCTGAGGCCTCCCTTCAGGTACTCAGGTCAAATATGATGACAATTACTGAAAATCTTATTTTCTCATATAAAAGAAAAAGTTCTTCCAATCCCAAAGAACCAGTCACACCCCTGGGTCAATAGCTAACTTAGCTCTTACACAGAAATACATGCTGAGAGCCAATTCTTCTAAACTAAACTACAATTCGTTAAAAAAAGAGAGTATTGATTAAAAGATACATACAAACAAGTTAAATTCTTGAGGTTTCAGCTATATAGATTCGTTGAACTTTGTAGTTGCAGATGGATCTTTTCAGAGCAGTTCAGCACTATTAACTCAATGTCCCTTATAGGAAGATCAGGAAATCCTAGGATCTCATCCTTTATGTCTTGGAGCTTTTCCCATAAGCATCCAAGCAGATACAAGATGAAAAAGGATCCTGTCCAAAGGAACTTTATACCTTTGCAGCTGTCCCTTGGCCTGGGAGAGCACAACAGGCTTTTAATGTAATTTTCTGTCTCCCAAACATGCTGGCAATTAGTGCAATGTAATTTATCCATTAAACAGTACACATGCAGTTTACCACAACCTTCAGAGAGACATATAAACAATAATATTACTTCAGTCAGGTTTCATCATAAATGGTAACACTCCCTTCTGATCTTAGATCAAAGGTCTAGTAACAGACATGGATTGTTTGTTCACATCAGAGTATCTGAGCAAACACCTGCCATTCTACTACTCTCACAATGCAAGTTTGCATTTCAAAGTTCTACTCTAATCTAATGAAACAGTCCAATTATCATTACACCTCTTCCTAAAAACAACAAGCAGTCCTGTGGCATTTGGGCATAAGCTTTCGTGGTCTGTAGCCCACTTCCTCAGATGCACACCAAAGCTGATACCCAAATAAATGTTAGTCTTTAAAGTGCCACAGAACTTCTCCTTGCTTTTGCTGAAGCAGAGTAATACCATTACCTCTCTGAAATGTGTTCCCTCTTCCTTAACAAGTCTTCAAAGAGAGGCCCTGGCTAACTTTCTGGCCATGTGCTGCATTTTAATCAGATGTCTAATATTTCAATCAGATAACATCACATACCTATATATATTGTGGCTAGAGAAACTTAAAATTCAGAGTTTCATTGTAATGGCAGGAAAACATAATTAGTATGTTTTTTTCCATTGGCGCATTTTGGGTTTTTTTGTTCTTGAATCAAGGAAAGTTAGGATCTCTGTAGATAAGCAAGAAGTGCTAGGTGCATAGAATTGCTGTGATAAAAAGAGAACCCTCCCACATTAAAATTCCACCTATTTTCCAACATACAGCTCCACATCTGGGCAGCTTCCCCCTCATCCCAAAGTGAAGTAGGTTTGAGCTGATTTTCTGAGTTAACAGCAACTTCTCCAGAAATAAAATCCAAATGATCAACTCACAGATGAAGCAGAAGCAGACACTGGTCCCACCACTAGTTTTTCAAATACAATCTCTTGTTTTCTGAGCAGGAAGTCCACAGCTCCTCATTCCTATAGGGATGCCACGAATTCAGTCTGGGAGCAACAAGTGAGTCACGTGAGAGGCAAGCCATGTGACCCAATAAGTTTGGCAAGTACTAGTGATGCTATTTAACTCCTTAGTAGCCTCAACACCTGGCTTTAAAAATATTTCAGATTTACAATTTTAGTAAATAGGAGACAGATGGATTCTAATGCTAAAAACAATGCCGATGAAACAGTATTTTGCCACTATTACCTAAGACCCAGAACAGCCCTGTGAGATAGTATTTTGCCACTATTACCTAAGACCCAGAACCAGAACAGCCCTGTGAGATAGTATGCCACTATTACCTAAGACCCAGAACAGCCCTGTGAGATAGTATTTTGCCACTATTACCTAAGACCCAGAACAGCCCTGTGAGATAGTATTTTGCCACTATTACCTAAGACACAGAACAGCCCTGTGAGAGAGTGCTTATCTCAGATTTAGAAGAGGATAAATTGAGTGATATGCCCAAGGTCCAGAGGGAGGCTGTCTCTGTCTGTCATTCTGGCATGTTACAGCTACATGGGTTCTCCTAACTCTTCCTTGCTATACACTCCTACAAGTAACCTTTAAGTGTGAAAACAGACTCTGTGAAAATGGGACCTTCTTCACTGGACCTGATCCCTGCAGGTATTCAGTCATAGCTACATACTGTGATGACTAACAGAGACTCTGCTGGCCCCATGCTTGGGCTGCCAAAGCATTTGTACAGGTGTCACTGTATGGAACCCTGCACATCCCCCCATTTCTGATGCCCACTAAGCTCCCTCTGGGGGTAGGGAACTGGAGTGTCGAAGGGGGTGTGGAGTCTGAGAGCGAGTTTGAGTGAAAGAGGGGGTTGTGATCTGGGGCAGAAGCTTTGGATGCAAAGTCCAGAAGGGGGTGTGAGTGTTGGAGAGGATTCTGGTCTGGGGGAAGGGTTCTAAGATGGGATGCAGGGTCCAGGAGGGAGTTGTGACCGGGGGGAAAGGGGTACAGAGTAGGGATGTTAAATATCAGTTAACTGAATAGTCAATTAAATCCATGAATTCTCATCGGTTACTTGACTATTCTAGAATCCCCAGGCAATCCCTGTCCTGTGGGGGCAGAGGTTTGCGCTCCCGGACCTGTCATGAGCTGGAATGGAGCTGGGCTGCCTGCTTGCCTAGCTCCTAATACACTTTTAATGCAGAGCTGCAGCGGGAGTAGGTCCAGGACGCAGTGCAAGCTGGGACTGAGCTAGGCTGCTGGCCAGTCTGCTAAAAAATGTACTGACGGGGCAGGGGGGAATGCGTGTAGTCTATAGCATTAACCTATAAGCTTTTCCTTAGCTGTTAATTGATTAATCAACCACATTATTAAATCCCTAGTACAGAGGGTTTAGGTGATGGCCTGGAGCTGGTAGTTGGGGGGGAGGGGAACAGGGTGTGTGTGTGCCAGAGGCAAGCTCTGTCTGGGAGGCATTTACCTAGGCAGCTCCCAGCCAGCAGTCCTGCGGGAAGCTGAAGGGTGCAGTATCAAGGTGTTCCAGATGGCTCTGCTCCTGGTAGGAGGGAGGGAGGTAGTGAGGAGGCTTCATTGCCTGCTCCTGTCCCCAGCAAAATTTCTCAGTCCCTATTGGCCGGAAACTAGCCAATGGAAGTGAGAGATTTTGCTGGGGGAGGAGTGGGGCACAGGACAGAGCACAAAGCCTCTTTACTAGCTCCCAGGATAGAGCAGCCACATTTAGGCTGCGCAAAATCTTGCCACCTGTCTAGACTGGCCACGAGTATTTGCGCAAGAACACTGACTTTGTACTGTACAAAATCAGTGGTTCTTGCACAAATACTTTGACGCTCCCCCTCAGGATAAGCCCTCAGGCACAAGTATTCTTGCGCAAGAGGGCCAGTGTAGACAGGCAAGTTAATTTCTTGTGCAAGAAAGCCCGATGGCTAAAATGGCCATCGGAGCTTTCTTGCGCAAGAGAGTGTCTACACTGGCACGGATGCTTTTGCGCAAAAGATGTCTTTTGCACAAAAGCATCCATGCCAGTGTAGACGCTCTCTTGCGCAAATACTTTTAAAGGAAAAACTTTTCCATTAAAAGTATTTGCGCAAAATCATGCCAGTCTAGACGCAGCCTTAAAGTGGTGGCAGCTGCACTATGCTTAAGGGTACCCGCGAGGCAGCCGTGGGCTGGATCCAGAGGCTTGGTGGCCGCATCTGGGCTGCTGGCTGCCTCTTGCCCACTCCTCGTCTAACTTCAGTACTGGGCAAATTGTTTGAAACTATAGTAAAGAACAGAATTGTCAGACACACAGATGAACATAATTTGTTGAGGAAGAATTAACATGTTTTTTTGTAAAGGGAAATCATGCCACAGCAATTTAATAGAATTCTTTGAGGGGGTCAACAAGCAAGTGGACAGGAGAGATCCACTGAATTTAGTGTACTTAGATTTTCAGAAAGCCTTTGACAAGGTCACTCACCAAAGGCTCTTAAGCAAAATGTCATGGGATAAGATGGAAGGTCCTCTCATGGACCGATAACTGGTTAAAAGACAGGAAACAAAAGGTAGTAGGAATAAATGGTCAGTTTTCAGAATAGAGAGAGGTAACAGTATCCCATAGGGGCCCATATTGGGACCAATCCTATTTAATCTCTTTATAAATGACCTGGAGAAAGGGGTAAACAGTGAAGTGGCAAAATCTGCAGATGATACAAAACTGCTTAAGACTGTCAAGTTCAAAGCAGACTGTGAAAAACTTCAGAAAGATCTCACAAAACTGTGTGATTGGGCAACAAAATGGCAAATGAAATTCAATGTTGACAAATGTAAAGTAACATATATTGGAAAACATAATCCCAACTATACATATAAAATGATGGGTCTAAATTAGCTGTTGCCATTCAAGGGAGATATCTTGGAACCATTGTGGACAGTTCTCTGTAAACTTCTAATCAATATGCAACAGCAGTCAAAAAAGCAAACAGAATGTTAGAAATCGTTAAGAAAAGGATAGAGAATAAGACAGACTATTTTATTGCCTCTATATAAATCCACAGTACGCCCATATCTTGAATACCACATGCAGATGTCACCTTCTCTCAAACGAGATATATTGATACTAGAAACAGTTCAGAAAAGGGCAACAAAAATTATTAGGGGTATGGAACGGCTGCCATATGAGGAAGATTAATAAGATTGGGACTTTTCAGCTAGGAAAAGAGACGACTAAGGGGAGATATGATAGAGGTCTATAAAATCATGAATGGTGTGGAGAAAGTGAATAAAGAAGAATTATTTACGCCTTTCCATAACACAAGAACTGGAGGTCACTAAATGATGTTACTAGGTAGCAGATTTAAAACCAACAAGAGGCAGTATTTCTTCACACAAAACACACAGTAATCCTAGGGAACTCCTTGCCAAAGGATGTTTTGAAGACCAAGACGATAAAAGGTTAAAAAAAAAGCTAGATAAATTCATGGAGGCTAGAAATGGCTATTAGCCAGGATGGGCAGGAATGGTGTCCCTTGCTTCAGTTTGTCAGAAGCTGGAAATGGGTGACTGGAATGGATCATTTGATGAGTCCCGCATTCATGCTAAAATTCGACACTCTCCACAGGGGGCTGAACAAAGACCCCGACTACCTTACCCATTACAAAGATAGCTTCCCCAATTATCACCTCTAATACCATTAACAGACATCTCTCCTTCCCCACCTCTAATATCATTAACTCACAGGCATTTACCTTCCTATCCCCCCTCTGTTCTGAAATGTGATTTGTCCTTTTCATATGTGTTCATTTTTTAAAATTGTATCCTTTGGTATATATGGTTGTGACTATTTTCTTCCACATATTGATCTGAGGAAGTGGGTCTGGCCCACGAAAGCTCATCACCTAATAAACCATCTTGTTAGTCTTTAAAGTGCTACATAGTCCTGTATTTTGTTCCCTCTAAGTGCTGAGTCCCTTGTAGGGTGGGAGGAGACTTTGTGCACTTTCTCCCTTCCCCATCCCCGGGCCAATCAGGACTTGGGGGCAAGGGGAGGGTGTGAAGTTTCCTCCCACCCTGCCCCCTTTGACGCGCACTCCTTTTAGGAATGGGGCGGGGCAGGAGGAGACTTTACACACTTCCCCTCACTCCCAAGCCCTGATTGGCCTAGGAGAGCATGAAGACTCTTGCTCCCTGCTCTCCAGCATGCGGCGCTTAGTCAACTAGAAGGTTGACTCTAAGCCCTGCGCGCTCTCCTGTCCCGAAGGCCTGGAGAGTGGGGGAGCAGCAAGACCTCCACGGGCCAAATCAACCAACTTGGTGAGCCGGATATGGTCTGTGGAGGTCCTTTTGCCCATCCCTGGTGTAGACGTGCCCTACAGAGCACAGGCCCTGTCCCATCCCCCATGACCTCTGCAGCCCCCACTTCCCATTGCTCTATCATCTCTTCTTCTCACCCATGATTCCCTGCAATTTCTACAGCCCTGCTCCCATAGTTCTATCATTCCTGACTTCCACTTCCTTACCAACCCTGTGACCCCACAACAGCTATTTCCCAAGGCTCCATCATCCTCACTTTCCTCCACCACCCCTGGTCCTTTCTGCACCCCTCACTTCCCATAGCTCTATTGCCCCTGGCCCCTAGTGCCCTATCAACCCTGTGACCCCACAACCCCTACTTCCCATGGCTCCATCATCCCCACTTTCCTCCACCACCCCTGGTCCTTTCTGCACCCCTCACTTCCCATAGCTCTATTGCCCCTGGCCCCTAGTGCCCTATCAACACTGTGACCCCACAACCCCTACTTCCCATGGCTCCATCATCCCCACTTTCCTCCACCACCCCTGGTCCTTTCTGCACCCCTCACTTCCCATAGCTCTATTGCCTCTGGCCCCTAGTGCCCTATCAACACTGACCCCACAACCCCCCTACTTCCCATGGCTCCATCATCCCCACTTTCCTCCACCACCCCTGGTCCTTTCTGCACCCCTCACTTCCCATAGCTCTATTGCCCCTGGCCCCTAGTGCCCTATCAACACTGTGACCCTACAACCCCTACTTCCCATGGCTCCATCATCCCCACTTTCCTCCA